AGAGAGAGAGAGAGAGAGAGAGAGAGAGAGAGAGAGAGAGAGAGTGAGTGAATAAATGGTTTCCTTAGCTATTTCAAATAAAATTCTTACAAATCTAAATTAATTTAAATATAAGTTAAAAAATTAATTTAAATTAATTTAAATTTTATAAATTTAAACAACATTAAATTAATATGTATATGCGTGTTACATAATTCTACATTTATGTTTATTTCAATTTATGTAGGGAATGGACAATCCCCAAAACCCTACTTCCAAAAATTTATTTTGATTCTATTACTGATTTCTTCTGTTTCTTTCTGTCTAATTATAAGTAATTGTTTGTACTTTTAAATACGAGAATTTATTTATATCTAACTCCATCTAGAGAATGAAGAGAAGTAACACATATATGTATATAAAGAAAGCTTGATACTTTTGTTTTCGCACTATATTTCTTAAACAAATGCTAAAAATAAAAATTTAGAAATATAAATACGAACTAGAAAGTAAGAGAGAAAAAAACAGAGGAAGAAACATTACGATTCATTAAATTTCAATTAACTATATACAAAACTTGGATACAAGACAAGTAGATAATAAATTGAAAAGTTACTTAAATCACGTATACGATTTTCCATTTTCATCGAGGTAATATCCGAATTAATATTTGTAAACGTCACTTACATTATAGTATTTACGTCCGATATTCACTCAATCAAATCGCATGTACGCAAGCAAATATGTATTTGCAAATTAACATATTTACTTGTTTCGAAGCATGCACGCACGCACACACACGTATATGTATATATAATATAATTATACATATATATATATACATATATAATACATATAATAGATAATTAATTTTATGTATGTATAATTTAAATCGAATAATAAAATATATTTTAAATAATGTATTTGCATTGTTTTTGGAAGTTAATACATCATGATTAATTATATAAAAATAAATAATGTAATCAATGTAAATACGTTTTTATTATATATAACAAAATGGCGTTTTTGTAATATACAATATCTCTTCTAGTTCTTTTATGCACTTGGCGTCGCGACCCTATCGCGTCGCTTGATTTATAATATGCTTTGTAATATTTGTTACGTAGTTCATTCTTTTGTATGTTTCAAAAAATCCTAGCTTTACGATAATAATTAATAGATTACTAAAATATTCCACGTTTATCGCTAAATATGGTAAAATTTTTAATAAACTTTGTGGTATAATACTCGTATAAAGAAACATATGCAAAATAGCATCGATAACGCTTAAAAATTTTAGCAATAAACAGCAGTTCCTATATTCTTATTCATGCGTCTCTAGGTAGTTTGATCTCCATGCATTTTTGCGGGTTAATAAAGATAAATAGATACTATATGTAAAAGTAAGTATGCAAATTATAAAAAAAGAGCATATCTTTTTGCGTTTTTTTAAATAGGCAAAATGTTTTCTAAATAAAATTACCCTTTTTAAAATTTCTAATTTCTATTTATAGATTTTTAAAATTATTTTCATGTAATGTAGCACAGCAGCGCTTGCAAGACGCTAAAAAAAGCGATTATATGCGCTTTTTTAGCGCATTGTTAATGCTTTGTAAGCGCTATGTGCTGTAAGCGATTATATGCGATTGGGTAATTTTTGAATGTAAGTGGATTATTATATACTTATCCGAAAGAAATTAACGATTTCCTCTTCAAATGAGAAATGAAGACGATTAGACAAAAATAAATCAATCGAGAGTCTGAAAAGAAAGGAGATGTGAACAAGAGTATTCCATTAACGCAGGCAACAGAATTCTGAATCACATCAAAGTACTTATCACGTAATTCAAAAGAAAAATTTCTTCTATAAATCATCACACGTAGTAAATCGTTTCATATTTTATCTTCAAAAACATTAAAAATGGAAAAATGTTACGTACAGATCCATAAATAAATAGCAAAGTAGCCATATTACGATTCTGACAATAGCTGAGGATTCAATGTTAAAGCTCGTCGTTTCCACAGACATGGAATGGTTGAATAACTTTGGACAGAGGTGGTACTCAACTAGGTAAAGAGAATCAGGAAATTGCCGTCTCTCAACCTGCCCTCTCTTTTGTCCGCTCCTTATACGGTTGACAATTTCGCTACGTAAACGCGGATAACAGTGATGACATTAGAAAAAGTGATGACGTTAACATTGGAAAATGAAAGCTATTATTTTCTATGAAAAAAATTCTAAATCTCTGAATGAAATTTAATATCTAATTCTTTCTAAAATAATTTGTTTTCTTCTGTATAAAAAATAAAATTTTTTCTCTAAACAAAGCAAAGATACTTAAAATTATTCATCATATTTGCAATGAATTTAATAATATAATATATACTTTAAGATTCTAAAACAGGATTTTTTTAAATAAAATCATAAAGTAAAGTATACTTATAACACGACAATTTTTGTCAAAAAGACAATTTTTCTAAAGAATCTAAAAATTTAATTGTAGATACAGATCAAAATCCAATAAAAATCATTTTATTGAACCATCAAAATAATTATGTAAGATGCTCAAATTAATTACTAAAATATCAAAACTTTTTGCAATATTATTCATTTAATTCCTACGTAATTATTTTAACAATTCAGCAAAATTATTTTCAAATTTTTATCTAGTTAAAAATTTATAATCGAAATTGAATACTTATTTGAAGACAATCTTTGCCTAAATTTTCCATTGAAAAAAAATACTCGGTTACTTCTTTTTATTTATGTAATGGTACTATTTTCGAAAAGTAAGATTATCCTATAGAAATTATCTATCAGCACGTAAAAACCAAGTTAGTTTTTGAGAAATTGATTGCCCTGAAAGGAATTATCTTTCTTCATGCTATCTGCTACAAATTATATTCCTTAATGCCAAGCAGCTCCTGACATCAGAGATACAACTCCGCGGAGAAGTTAAATCTCTGACGCGTACGAGAGTGGCCCAATATGACTCGCGACACATTCTTGGAAAGTCCCAGCGATTACTCCGAGTCAATCTGACGGGTAGTCATGACGACGGCACAGTGCATTGGGAAAAAGTACGTATATCTGTTTCCGTTCGACTTCTTTCATCGTGTAAGGAGTACGATAATAAAATAGAAGGAAAAAAAGAGTGAAGGAGGCGGCAGGTTAAAGAGGGAAGTCCGACCGAAGTCATTCCAGGAGTCCTCGGAAAGTCGACTGCTCTCAATGCGACTTCATCCCTCTTTTCTCTTCTTTGGGTAGAAGGAAATAACTTTTCTCGAGCACACATTCCTACTTTCTTTGCGTTCTTATACAGAGCCGTTTCAAGATTATTATCGACTCTATTCCTGCATACCAAGTGACTTAATATTTTTCGTTCAGGGGGATTTACCGCCCGATCCTATGATAAAATCTTAAATCATTGGGAAATTACACAAGCAGTCTCATATATTAGTTCTCATATATTATTCATGTTATCTCAATTTTAATTGTAATTCAATTGTAAAAGATTTCAATATTCATGTAAGTATCATATGTATCTACAAGACAATTAGGAAGAACAAGACAATTTAAGTGTAAAAAATTTGCTAATTATTTTTTTATATTTTATTGATTTTTTAGGCGTAAATTTGAAACTTTTAAGATGACATTTTAGCAGCATATTAAAAGAACAGTTCATAAAAAATGTCCTTTCTTCCATCAAAAATTATTTTGATGGAAGACCAACAAGAAATAACGAAATAAAAGAAACCGAATAGAATTCGAGCGTAGAATTCGTTTTATTTTTATAACCTTCGTATTCTACCACATTGTTGTGAAAGAACAGTTATTTTTGTTTCCAAGATTTCTTTCTAGATCACAATCAGGTTGCCTAAGATCTCGTGTTAGCAACGCCAACGAGTATTAAACAACAGGAAGTGTATGATTGAAAACTAGGATCATGCTTATCTGGAATGATTCGATTTACCATCTGAATGCTTCCTTGATTTTGCACTTGTAATGAAATTACAAATGATGTCGCTTTAACGGCAGCGCCCTAATTTTGCCTTCCAGCTGCTCCTACGCCTCTCAATTTCGCGATATCGTCTTCTTAGTAATGATACCGTTGCCTTGAAAGACATTAATGAAGAACTATAAAATATGTTTCAACAACAGCTCACTAAAACAATAAATTAATACATCAAGTAAAATGACGATGATAAGTTTTAATTATGTTTTGGAACACATTGTGAAGTTAATTATAGATAAATTAGTTAAGTTGTTAACGCTAGGTAATTTTTAGTAATGATTTCATTAGTTTAACATGTTCCTTTTGTAATTAAATAATGCAATAACACATTCTTCGCGTGAAGTTAAATAAACTCCGAAATTGTAAAACAGGTTTAAAACAGATTTCTATTATATTTAGAAAAACTTATCTTTGTTTTATTATTACGATCAACTTATTTACCGAATAATTGCACAAACAGATAATTGCACAAATAGGCAAATAAAATTAAATTGCTTCCTGTCGTAGCCAGAGTAAAAATTAACGCGTCGACCACCTACGCACAGTTAACCGAGTGACCAGCTGTTATCAATTGCGTATCCGTTATCGATCCTTGACCATTCGCGACGGGACGAGGCAAGCGAATCTCGACATGCGACATCATCGTGATTGGTCGGACAGTTCCTCTGGTGAACGACAAAGAGGTGGGGAGTTGCATAAAGCGCGGTACAAACGCGGATGGAGCGGCAATTCGTCGTGGAACACCAGTCGTGCGCACTCCACTAGCTCGCGGTATCATCTCGGGCACGTGGATATCATCGCTGTCAAGAAGGATTGTTCAGTAAATCACCAGATTATCGAGGTTCGCGAGTTACTTCAAACGTAAGTCGAATACCAATTCAATTTCATCTAGTAGTAAAATGCATTTCTGTTTTTCTGAAGTATTCTATAGATGTATATATTTATGTCAGTGCTTATAAAATCGACGTTGTAGAATATACAATTTTAATTGTTATAGGCACTGTATGTAAGTACATACATTTGTAGTATTTTAGACAATCTTTAGAAGCTAATGAAAAGAAAATTTGATTAAATAAATCGTGTTATCTGCTACATCATATTTTCAAAGATAATTTTTACGATAGTGTCATTACTTGAGTGATGAGCTGCAGTGATAACTCACGGACCGTTTAATCATAATCTATAATTATATCTAAAAAAAACTATTGTTCGAAACAACAAATGACAAATGCTTTTATAACTTATTTTTTCAAGAATCTTCTTGCTATAATATTTTATTCGCAAATTTTGCACATTACTATAAACAATTATAATTTATTTGTAAAGTTAAAATTTAAAAAAAACATCGTACTTGAATAAACGTGAAAATATTCTATAATTATATGATAGAACGTAATGCGTAATTGCATTAAAATGTGTAACAAAAATAATAAACATTTTGAATGTATAACAATTATTTATAAAAAATGTATAACAAAATTTCTCTACATAATAAATTTATGTTCAATGTAAGTACATTTTAGTGTGTTTGATGAAAGGCTGAGTAATTTCAAAAGATTGTTTAAGCTCTCGAAAGTTCTATAACTGATGTCAAGGAACTTTAATAATAGCACTTGTTAGTCTCAAACGCACACAAAGTATCCAAAATCAATTATTAAACTTAGTTTATAGCTTTTGTCATATAGCCCAACACAGTCTGATTGAAAAGCTAACTAAAACGCGTTAGCGTTAAATTAATCTGTTACATTCTTCAAAAACGATGATTAAAGAACAGATCGAATAGTATTTTGAGATTATCTAATATTTGCGAGAACTATTTTTGGTATATTGACGTGTTATAAATAGGAATTGCCGTCTGAATAATTGTACGAATAAGAGTAACATTTACAGCGGGTGCTATATTTGAGATCCACATAAATTTAACGCGAGTATTTCAATTGGTTTCATTCAGTGCATATAAATATAAATTTTTTTATTTTTTTTACGAGATTTTCACTATTCACTTTAATATTAATATCTTACAAGAAAACTCATCAACCGAAAGATCGCTAAGCTGTATATATTAATAATAAAATAATTTACTAACTTTCTTTTATCAGAATTTATTATTAATATTATAAATACAGTGATATATTGTATTATCAATTCTATTACGACACAATGTCGAATGTGAGCGATAAAAGCAATATAAAAAAAGCGATAATATAGTAATCGTATTCAATAATTAATTACTAAATTAAATAACACATTAAATACTTTATTTAAAAAATGAGTGTTACTTAAAAGATGATGTCCAGTTCGACATTTAGCTTACACTATCTCTGGAATTTAAAGAAACAGATTAGTCATGATCATGATAAATATTTCACAAAATATAGCACACAAACGTTTTTGTATTAAATCTTGAATTTATAAATAAATTACGATTTAAATACACGACATGAGATACAAGTTAATAAATACAAAAAAATATTTTTTATAAATAAAATACGATCGAGTTACAACCGTCTTGTGTGTAGAATTATCTTGCAAGAATTATTCTATCTAGCAAAACGTTGCACCAGCTCAAATAAACAGATCGTAATGGCTTTACGATAACCCGATCAGAAAACAGCTCGATGATTCGTAATTATCTTTAATTACTAACGCGAAAAGCGCGTTCAGTTTCCTTCCGAGAAATATTCGCTGATATCAGAGCAAGTGGGGATTCCCTGACTACCGCGGGAGTTTCCTTTTTTTTCGCGTGAGAAACGAGTCTCTACATTTCTTCATTCTTTTTATCTTGCTTTTTCTCACGTGCCTCCAAGACGTTTCAAAATATTTAATTATTATTCTCTAAAGTATTTAATTATTTTATTCTCTCAAGTATTCTCGTAACAAATACAACAATATTATACGTACTTTAATTTCATATATCTTACAGTTTTTAATAACATAATTTTTATAATGTTAATATTATGAACAAGCTGTTGATTATCAAGCTCTTAATTACCAAGTTTAATTTCATTTGGAGTAAAAATTATTTTATATGAATGTAAATAAATTTTCTAATTATTCATAGATTTCTGCAGTTCAAATATCTTCTTTACAGTAATGATATTCTTTAACAAGTACTTTAATGAAAGAATAGTAATACACTGACTCCTACATTTTTTTCATTTCATTACTAAAATATTTATTAATAGAAATATAAAAGAAACGATTCAACATTTTGAAACGAAAATAATATTATTCTGTGCGGTAAGTTTACATAGATATCTTATTGACCACGTGCAAATCTGCAATGACACTTAAGAATTGATTATTAAAATTCAATTTCCATCTTTTGCGTTGCAATAGATATTTCGCAAGTATAACGTAACAATGAGTGGGTAAAAAAAACCATAACAGACAAAATCGCGTTTTGACGCGATAAACAGGCGGTGTTTGCCACAACAGCGATTCGAATGAAACCAGCTCCATGAAAATGAGTCATGGTCATTACGGCGAGTTCACTCTTACTTCTCTACGCGAAGGCGATTTTACTGATCGTCACAACCGTTCTTGCGATCTCGCTGTCCTTCTTTTTCCACTCTCGATTTCGCAGACACTCTAACTGGTAACATAAACACATATGCATCTCCCTCACCTACTGGCTACAGAGTTTCTCAAGACCTGCGTCATTAGCTTTAAATTACCAGTTATCGATACGCAGACTTATTAGACATTTCGTTTAAAAGACCAACATATTTATGTGTTATACTCATTTTTGCCATAATTTTTCTTGGAAAACAAGCATAATGTATTTTGATGCAATTAGTAATGCTATATCTTTTTTTAAAAGTTTTACGATAAATTTAAGTTATCAACTTCTTTATTGAACATTTACGGTTATGAATAAAGCAATAAAAAAAGAAGCTACAGACTTAATTCTCTTCTAAAATAGTAAGTTAAATTGATCTGACAGGATGATTCTTATAGTACTATTCCTGTTAATTTCAATTTTATCTATTTGCCAAATTTATAAAGACAGTAAAAGTTTTTTAGTAACCAGTGTAATTAAGATTAATGGAATTGCTAATCACATACAAAGTAACATACTGTATTTAACAAAAGAAACTGTGATAAAAAATATTGTTATCTTTATATCAATGACATTCATTCAAATTTTTATCTCACATTCGACAGATATAAATTATTATAAAGTAATAAATTATTAAGATAATTTTGACCCCGTTCCACTTATTAAGATAGTATTATGTGCAGCTCATGTGCTTATGCAACTTCTTGATAGTATCATCTTAATGCAATTTTCGCGCTTTAACTCCTCGTCATAGTGTCACTTTCTCTTTTTATCTGAAATTGTTGTTTTTCTTAACATATCCTTGAAGCAAAACAACTGCCTCACGTGCTTTCTATAAATTGTCACGGTCATCTTGATAGAGCAAGACTTATAGTCATTTGTATCTGTTCTCGTCACGTAACATGCGGAAACAATCGCTAATTATTTTCTAGGTGTTCCGATAAACGTTCAATCTTAAAAAAAAAAATAATAAAAACATTCATACATTGATTCAAAGCGCTCGTGCATTTGATATATCAAGGATACTAGAGAACCACACCTACCCCACTTGTTAATGCATAACAGCAAATAGATATTGTTATATCTCCCCCCATTATTAATCTCATCTAATATTACAGGTAGAAGACAAATTATGGATCCCGATAGCTTCAAGGATTACGCCAAGGAGATGGCGGAATACATTACAAATTATTTGGAAAATATTAGAGACAGGTAAGTTACAACACGCTGTAATTAAGAAATCGTTTAATGATAAACCTGAATTAAATAATGACCTATATATAAAAAAAAACGATTTTGCTGAAGTACCTAAAAATGTTGTTAAATACAGACTTGAAAATTTTGTCAAATCATCAAAATAATTATGTAGCACGCTCAAATTAATTGCTAGAATAAATTTTTTGCAGCATTGCTCGATCAGCATGCTTAAGATTTCTACGTAATTATTGACGGTCCAACAAAATTATTTTCAAATCTATTTAGCTAATCTATTTAGGCATCTATCTATTTCAGCAAAATCATTCTTTCTATATATTACTTTGTATTTTTTATATAAATATGTATATCTCATACATGGAAATTTCATAAATTTCCAGGAAGGTATTGCCTACGGTGGAACCGGGATACATGAAACCCCTCTTGCCATCCGAAGCACCACAAACTCCTGAACAATGGCAGGATATAATGGCCGATATTGAAAGAGTAATAATGCCAGGAGTAAGTGAAGTTTTTAAATGTTACTACCATAAATCATCGATACATTAAGATAACGACAATTATAATAACGACTGACTCGTATATATACCGCAAAGCGAAATATAGCGATGCTAAAATTTTAAAAGTAGAGTATTTCATTATCGATACCTTCGATTTTTTGCACAAGTAGTTTAGAATTAAATTAAGATAAAATTATTTAGGTTACTCATTGGCACAGTCCAAAATTCCACGCATACTTTCCTACTGCGCAATCGTATCCCTCGATTCTGGCCGATATGTTAAGCGGAGCTATTGCATGCATTGGATTCACGTGGGTAAGTATAAAAAAACATGCAGTTGAAAAATGCGATTGCCTTATTCATCTCGAATAATTGTTATAAGCTTCACGTGTTCATGCTTTAACATTGTGTCACGCACATTTAATGTTCGCTGCATAGAATAAAATTCTTATTTATATCTCTTTTAAAAATAAATTTGTTTCTTGCAATAGATAGAAAAAAAGTGAAAGTAATATTAATTAATAAAAATAAAATTTCCTTTTGAAATACAATATGTTATTATTTTCGTGAAATATTGAAAATAATGTAAAGCAAAGAAACATATGAATGCAAAAATTAGACAATTGAAGATACATTCTTTCAGTCATTTTTTATTTAAAATATTCCGAATTCTAGATCGCGAGTCCGGCTTGTACAGAATTAGAAGTAATCGTATTGGATTGGCTAGGAAAAATGCTAAACTTGCCGAAAGAATTTCTTGCCTGTAGCGGTGGGAAAGGCGGTGGCGTCATTCAGGTAAATGACATTTCAGAAATAGCGTTACATTTATAAAAGATATCTCGATATCTAAAGGATATCATTGACTGACATACCTGAAAACAAGGAAGCTATCTATAATGTAATTTTCATCTATAGGGCACTGCTAGTGAAGCCACTTTGGTAGCGTTACTAGGAGCGAAGGCCAAGAAAATACAGCAAGTTAAAGAGCAGCATCCTGATTGGACGGAAAACGAGATCATCAGCAAACTAGTCGCATACTGTTCTTGTGAGTATATTGCAACATATATATTGCTACAGAAATTGTTACTGATACAAATTTATAAACGATCAAAACAAAGATACAATTATTTATTCAAATTTCCAGTCAAAAACAAATTTACGCTATATTCAGAGTAGCATAAATTGTTCATCGATCAATTCTTGTCTAATATTCTTTATCGAACAAATAAGCAGCACAATGAGCGTCAAGTGTGACGTATAGTTCAATGACTTTAAATAAACACTTGAACTATGACATATATCTCGATGAGTATTAAATACATGAACCATGACAGTCGCAGTTGAGCTTTATATATAGAAAAAAAATATAAAAAGATAGTGTTTTTTGTAAATTAAAAAAAGTCATTATAACGATTAATGTATAATACGTATTTATTACATTCTCTAATAAAGTATTGAATTTTATATTAAACGTTGCTGTTTAAATATAAAGTAATAATTAAAATTTTTTTTTCAAATAATGCTGTTATCCATCTTATATAATACTTTTCGTTTGTCATAATAATACGTATGTTAAAAAACTAATAATAAATTATTAATATCTCATACATAAATAATATACTTATAGATTAGTTTAAACGATCATCGTAAAAATATTTTTAAGATTTACAAAATATTATTTTTTTATTTTAATTGCGTCTCCATTTCTCTTCAACTTTTTTCAATATTATACAATCGCAAAAGTGCTAGAATTATGACAATGTACTGATTGGAGAGGGCAATTTTTTATTCGTATTTATTGCATTACCTCGGAGCGTATAGATATAATGCTGAAAAGTGTCCGGTCGCTTTCAGTGACCAGGCAATCACTGCAAAGGCATGTGAATAGAGGGGTTGAGAGGAATGGAGTGATAGGGTGAGTATATATGGGGTTCACGGCACTTCATCAAGCAGCACTTTGTCGCCATGGCAACTCGTAATAACCGCTCCAGTTATATTTCAGACCAAACTTTCTCTGCTATTCTCAACGCCCATAATAATTTCGTCGCACTTTATTCAAAATAAAAAATAAAAAAAAGAAAAATTTTCTAGAATTCTCCGATACGATGAATAATGCGGCCACAATTTTTCTCCGATTAAAAATATCGAGCGGAATAATATCATCAACGAGCACCGCTATTGTTCTATAAAAGAATGGAGAACTTTTTTACTCTTTTTTGGGCAATTATCGCGACTGAAGATGAGGTCGATAATTTGATCGATATCTATAAAAGAGATTACGAATATTGTTGAAAAACGATATGTTAAACAAAATTAAAATGTTTATCAAAATTAAAAGAATATATTCATTTATTTTCATGTAGCATATATCTTACAGTTTTGCAAGTTATTATAATTTTAAATAAATATTCAATATCAAGGCATCATATAAATTATAAATAATAATATAGAAGAATGTATGTTATAATTTGTAAATAATTTTATTTAGAAAAATATTATCTTGGCCGAGGATCGAACTAGGATTTCTTACATTCCGTACGAATGTCCTGAGCCTTTAGATCCGAGGCCTTAGTAATATTCTTCGCAATAACTAGCATATGTAGGAACAATTATTTTATTTCAGGCGATGTAAATAAACAATTACTAGCTTGTGATATTACTACAGTAGTCCAGTGAAGTTTACGTTTCAAGACCAAAAAATCATTTCGACGTGCAATTTAAAAAAGTAGATGTAAGATTTAAATTTACATAGAATTATACAATTACTTAAGAGCCAACTAGATTATTAAAGGGCATTTATCTCATACTGATTGTATAATCATCTGTATAAATATGAGATTCTTAATTCAAATAATTATAGTTTTAGGTATATGTTATTATAATTTTAAATAAATCTTTAATATCGGGGCATTATATAAATTACAGATAATAACATAATAATATAGAAAAATATGTTACGTCAAAACAATATTGCAGATTTTTTAAAAATCAAATAATTATAATAAATAAATCGCAAAATACGTGATGAAATATTGTATTTTTTCCAGGTCAAGCACATAGTTCGGTTGAACGCGCTGGACTTCTCGGTGGAGTAAAGTTCAGACAATTGGAAGTCGATGAAAAATATAAGCTGCGCGGCGACACATTTGCCGAAGCAATCAGAAAGGATAGAGAGCAGGGATTCATACCATTTTATGTAAGCTCAATTTATTCGATGTTCCTCTGTCGATCGAATATTCCACTTACTTCTTTCATTTCTTTAAAGAAGGAGATAAAATTGCATAAAATTCAATGTACAATATAAATGTGAGATAACATAATATGAAGAGATAATGTAATATAATATGTATATTTTATATCACAAAAAAATATTGTCAATGTATTTAATAATTCTAAATAATTAACGTAAAGTGTAACATAACAAAAATGAAATTAATAAATTGAAATAAATAAATAAATTATTAAGAAATTAAAGTACTTAAAGATTTTAAATTGATCTTTGATAGGCTGTCGCTACTTTGGGTACCACTGTTAATTGCGCCTTTGATCGTCTCGATGAAATGGGTATTGTAGCAAATCGTGAAGACATTTGGTTGCATGTAGATGCCGCTTATGCAGGTATAAATTAATTCTCTCATTTTACAAAAATAATGATAATTTCTTCAAACAGTAATTCATAAAACAGAACTAAAACAAATCCATTTGTTTACAGGATCTTCTTTTATTTGCCCGGAATTTAGATATTTAATGAAAGGTATCGAATTGGCAGATTCATTCAATTTCAATCCGCATAAATGGATGTTAGTTAATTTCGATTGCTCTGCCATGTGGCTTAAGGATCCGACATACGTCATAAACGCTTTCAACGTTGATCCTTTGTACTTGAAGCACGATATGCAAGGTTCGGCACCGGATTATAGGGTAATTATATAATATTAAAAGTCTATTGAGTCTTTTAAAAGTCTATTAAGTTAATATAATCGAATTTACATTATGTAATTAATAAAATCAATTTAAAAAATAATTTATAAACGATGACTTTAATCGATATGAGCGTACTTTGTTACAGCATTGGCAGATTCCACTTGGACGCAGATTCCGATCTCTAAAACTGTGGTTCGTATTGAGACTCTATGGGGTCGAAAATCTTCAAAAGTTTATCAGGTCGCACGTCGCTCAAGCACACGAATTCGAAGCATTAGTTCTCTCCGACCCTCGCTTCGAAATCGTGGGCGAAGTTCTGATGGGATTGGTTTGTTTCCGATTGAAAGTAAGTCGATTATTTTTAAAAGTATATATGTACAAAAGATTTAGAATCTCTAAGTACTTTTTTTACTTATATTTAAAAATAATGATAAATATTTATTATCACTATAATGTAGACTAACTAATGTAGATTAACTATAATCTTGGTTTAAGTTACTCATTGCCTTCTTTTCTAATTCTTAGAACTAGAAAAAAAATGAAAATTAAGATTAAAATTAATTTGTTAGTAAAAGTGAGCATAATCGATTAATGACTGAAAAATATTATCATTATCAATAAAAAAAAAGTACGGAAATAGAAAAACTAATTCCATTACGATTACAGGGATCCAACGAACTCAATGAAACCCTATTAAAGAGAATCAATGGTGCAGGAAATATCCATCTTGTCCCATCTAAAATAAAGGACACGTATTTCCTGCGACTCGCCATCTGTTCTCGATTTAGCGAGAGCAAAGATATACAGTATTCCTGGAAAGAGATCAAGCTGAGAGCTAACGAAATCCTCGATGAGCAATCGCTTTCAAAGTGATGGCGCGCTCAGATAGCTCGCGGTTGCAGATCGCTGGCGCCCGCCACATGCAACCAATCCTAGTTACAAGTATTTCCTAAACCCAGCGGCTTTTAAGGACCAAGTAGGTAATAAAACAGGAATGTGATTGAGCGATCAGGCAGTTATGCAATAAGTTAGTCTTAAAGTTAATCTATATTAGTGAAAATAAATATTTATTATTTTTAAATTATAATTTTTGCAAAAGTTTTTATATTACGATGTTGTATGTTTATATAATATTTCAAGAATGCAGGATTTATTTGCTGGCTAATGTATTCTAATTTAATAGACATTGGCCTAATTAATCAGATATTCATTAAAAATTGACAAATTGCACAACGAATAATAGTCACTTAGTAAAATTTTACTAAAATCAATTGCAGAATCAAAGAATTTAAATGCAGCATTATTTGGAACATAAATATCGAATATAGATATGTATTTCGAAATTTTGAGCAATACAATTCATTATTTAAATAAATATTATATCATATGTTTATACAAGTTAATAATTTTATAAAATAAAGAAAACTGTTAATCTTAATAAATATATGTATGTATGTATTCATATTTATATTTCATTACGCAACGAATGTAAATAGTTTACATGTTACAGATATACATATAATCGTGGAATCATATACTTCATTAAAGTTGCATTCCACTAAAAAAAGTACTTAGAGATTCTAAATTTTTTGTACATATACTTTTAAAAATAATTGATTTATTTTCAATCGGAAACAAATCAATCCCATCAGAAGTTCGCCCACGATTTCGAAACGAGAGACGAAGAGAACTAATACTTCGAATTCGTATGCTTAATAAACTTTTCGTTCAACGTTAAAATGAAAACATTGCCTTGTTATTTGCACATGTTATTAAGCGATTTAGATATATTTACATTACTAATAATGTATTTAACATAAACGGTCTTGTTTCCAATTTTATTATTATATTATATTTATTCATCGAATTGTAAAAAGATAATTTATATAATGAGATAAAGCACTGTACACAAAATATTGGTAAACAGGTGACAAACGTAGAGCAAAATCTCAAAATACATTGCAAATTTTATAAAGCGATAGGTGTATAAATATAAATTTGTTTGATTGTATCATCACGTAAAATAATTTTATTTACGTAAAGAGTTCTATGCGCAGAAATATGTTTTAAAATAACTGTTACTTTAGGAATTGGTTGTGCAGCCTGCTGGGATTCGTGTTAACAACATAATAGATGTAATGCAATATTATGTGTCTCCTTGTGCCACTTTTGCTGGTACACTATCAATGTTACTATATAAATTCCTTATATAAGCAACATCCTTGTAAGTACATTATGTAGTGAAAGTCACGCAAATTGTTATTACAAAGTTGCGCATTGATATAAACGGGGCATAATATTAAAAATGCGTAAAATATTCTTCAAATCACATATCTCTACATAAGCAAGATGATTATTTATTATTTTATAAACATAAAAAATTATACGTATAAAATTATTTGTCTGTAAAATAATTTTAACTCGTTAATTAATATGTGAAGAGTGAAATACGACTAATTATTTAATTTTCACGACGAGAAATAATTTTGCGAAATTGGATTTTCCATCGAAATGTTTAGATTCAAACGTCTATGAAGAATTAAATTTCATTTTAAAATCCCATTATTATAATGTAATCTTCGTGCATGTTGAAATTATTAGTATGTAGGAATTATAGGGTATCATAAACGCATGTTATGTATATAAATGTTATAAATATAAATGATTATAAACATGTTAGAAAAAGTTGTAAAATTGACGTACGTAACATATCTTTATCTTTTTTTTTACATATATTTTTTGTTTCTCTAAACTCTTTACTTTAAATCTCTACTTTCAAATATTCTCGAGTCATTATATCGTCGTTCGAATAAGTTAAAAAATAAATACGTGTAATATTGTAATGTCTTTCAAATGACGAAGTAATTGAATTATTATAATATATGTATAATATGCGCATTATAATGCTGTAATGTTGTGCTGCAACAGAGACAATAATAATAATAGAATTAATCAACAAGATATAATCTGTCAAAAATGACATTCGAACATCTAAGAACAAGATAGGAAAAAAAAAAAGAATTTGAATAATTATTAAAATGATTGCTACACCATTATCATGATGTTCACAGATAAAAATATAAAAGTAAACAATAACGAAAATACAAATGTCCAAAATTTATCGTTATTTAATTATAATATAACAATATAATAAAATTTGTCATGCCAAACTATTAAGCAATAATTTTATTATAGCTCAAATATTTTATTAAGCTGCAATTTTAGTAATTTTACACAAAAAAGTTGATTAACATTAATCTAAAGCAACGATTTCAATCGTTGTGGGACCAATGAATAATTTGCTATAAACAAAGCAATTGTATTTTTGTTAAAATATTGTTCATTAAAATAGTATAAAATGTATTATTAAATACAATATATGTCGATATAATTGAGATTATTGAGAATTCAACTATTAAATTGTTAATGTCGACCAAAGTAGATTAATAAATGATCCGATTCACTCTCATCTCTTTTTCATTAATAATATGTCCTCATCTCTCTCATAATAAAACAATTCTATTAAATTAAAAATTAACAAAAAGAAGAGCATAAGATATTCTTTGTAATTATATTTAATATATAATTACGTTTATAAATAATTTAGACGTTTCGGCCACAATCTGGCCATCTTCAGTAAAATTACAAATAAAACACAGAATTTACATAAATTTAACATTAAATTCAGTGGTCAAAATATAAATATACGTCAATCATTCTTTTCTCTTATAAAAGTACATTGTAAAATGTGGTTGCAGAGCCAATTATTATATTGCAAATTATATAGCACAAGAATTGCCAGATTCTAATTAAAAAAATTATAATATCGTTAAAATCTTCTAGTCAATTTAACATGTTCTATTAAATTATACAATTATTATATGTAAAGCAATGTTTTGCGAGTACAAAAGATATATTAATGAAAAATATTAAATATTAATATACAATTTGTATACCGTGCATCATTAAAAAGATTATTCTGTTAATAGGTTTATACATCGAATTTATCGAAGATTACTAGAAATTGCTGTCGTGACCGATCATCGATGTGACGTAATTTGCACATAATAAAAAATTTCATTATATAAATTATGATTAAAATAATTGGAAACTATAATAAAATCAATGCATAAAATAAACTATATACATACTAAATATTCTATTTGAATATAATATTATTTTTACATAAAGAGAACTTCAAAAATAAAAATAAAGAAACTTGTAAATTTATTAAATTGAATGTAAAACTACATTTTAAGATATTCAGAATTTAAAAAATACATCTCTTCAAATTATGCATATAAATAAAGGTAGCATGGGTTTCTTGCCGTTGCCATCAGAGAGCATTATATGTATCATTTCTGAGACTTGATACAGGAATCTTTTCTATCGATACAAACATGTAACTCTCGATTTCTTCTGTCGATTAAAGAAATTTCTAAATTATTGAAATTGGGAAGCACTGACAATGCAATAAAAAATATCGGATATAAATTCTAGATTAATAATAAATGATAGGTTTAAAAAATGAGAAAAATTATTATTTAAGATGAATAAAAAAGTTACGTAATTAAAACAAATGGAAACTTCTACAAATGGAAACTTTTTAATAATAAAAGAACGCGATAAAAATAAAATTTATATAAATAAGTAAATAACATAAAAGTCAAATAAATAAAAATATATTTTTATCTAAGTTATATTTAGACATTAAAAATATATACAGATATTACCAATAATTTGATAATTTATCAATACTTTTCTCAAATTAATCTTAATTAATCCTAATCCTAAATTAATTGCATACATTTCCTCGTTAATCATATGCTCATTCTACTAGATAATACTACATTTGATTAGATAAGAATACACAGAATCAACTATTAAATAAGAAACACAAGCTTATTAAAAAACTAAATATATATTTCAACTCTTCATTCATTATCTTATCAGAATTATTCATCGACAAAGTTAATGAAGCATTAACTTAACAACTATTTTATTTTGCTTGGCACTTAGTTCAATGAGATTATTAGTGTCTGAATCAAGCAGATGTTAGTGTAGGTGTTAAGAAAATATTCGAGTGTCTGGAATGACAGAAACCACCGGTAGTAATAAGCGGAAAACATATGAGAAATAGCAGTATTTTATTAATATGGCACGATGATAATAAACCTCTCTTTTGAGTCCATCGCGCGTTTCCTAATGTATTCATAGAATTTATCAAGTAAGTTCATTTAAGTTGTTGGAAGATTATCAGAACATTCCATTTACTTTCACATTTGATTCACATTGACATTTAAAAAATTATATTAAGCTAATGTCAATTTTTATTGTAGTTATATTATTATTTTTATCATTCGTATGTAATGATGACATTGTAAATTGCAAGAAATGATAAACAAAGATAAAAATTGAAAACAGATAGTTCGCAAAATTGATATTTAAAAGGTCATCATATATATATATATATATCATTACAATAATTTCATCTATAATCAAGTATTTTCAAACATCAATAATTCGCTAACATATTTCTTATAATTTGGTGGACAAAATTTTCAAGGAATAATCAACAGAATAATATCTCCGCATGTTACGATAATGTCTTCGAAAGTTAAATATTTTTGGCATTGAATAGAAATGACATCACAAGACTTCCCTTGAAATAAAACCTGCGTCCCAGAAGCGCGATCAACAGATTAAATTAGATTAAAATTATAGCACATCATAAATTACGATAATATTACACGATAGTCCACGAATCTGTTTTAACATGCCGTTTCGTCGCTCGAGGAGGTTGAAGATAAAAGGTCCTCGGGTATTGAAATTTGTCGACTGACACCCGATATATCTGCCCCCTCCCCTCCCCATTATTCTTAACGTGAGACAGCTATTAACGGTCCACTAAACAATCAATAGCGATGCTGGTAACTGAAGCATATCGTGAAGTGCATAAACGAAGTGGTAAACGAAATGAGAATTGCCGTTTTTCCGCGACGTTAAGCTATAATCAACTGAACTGTGAATTGACTAATAAGAAGGAAGAGAAGAAAGGAATGAACGAGGAAGTGTTAATCCCTTCGTTTCGAGAGTAATAAAATACAGTTTACATATTTATTTCGTAAACTAATTCGATTATAAAGACATTGTTCCAGATCTCTACGATTCCAAAACTTTTCGGAAAATTCATGTATTAGAAAAAAATGTGTCATATGTTGATGCTAATCAAATTTACATTTTAATTTTAAATAAGATGTACCTAATAATTTTTTCACAGACTGGAAATAAAAAAAAAGAACGAAAGAAGAAACGCTTTTTTAGACAATGCTTCTTCATTTAAAACACTAATTCCATTTTCTTTATCTGCAATTATTAATATTTGTCAAGATTTTTAAAATCCTTTTACATTTAATATTTTCATGATTCAAAATATGGAAAGTAGCAGAGAAAATATTTAGTCAAGTAGTAAAATAAAAGACATCAGCATATAATTACTAATTACTAATTCCCTTGTGAGACTGTTTCAATGGATTGATGATAATAGCAAAGTTGAGAGAATGACACGAGGATGAATACCAATTATGATGCAATGAAGACAGTAAGTATGTGCGAAAAATCGTGTCCCGATTTCAAGTGTCTACTCACTTATGCATTATAAATTCTGATTGTTTAATGTACGCCGCTCGCGTTCACGCTCGTCGTCGTGAAACCAGATCCGGAAAAGATATAACAGGTTTATCTCGCATGACTCGTAGGACGGGGTCTCAAACGGGGATAATAAGGTGAGTGCGTTCGGCATGTATGTACACGTACGTGTGCGTGTGCAAAAACAGGTGCGCTTCATTTATCGCGTCAAAATAGGCGAGATTCTTTCCGTGGGATGTAATTATTTCCTGATGGATATTGATTTATGCTACAACCCTTGTCGAAGAGAGAGAAAGGGCCACTATATAGCGAGAATGAGTGATGAGCGTAAAAAATGTGACACGTGTATCAAATTAAAAATCCCATTCTTTCAGAACGTGTATTAACAAGGTTTGAATATTCTATATTTCAGAAAATAATTATTATTATACTTAAAAATTTAATTAATTTATTCGTGTTTTTATTTCTTCTTTCCACTTTAAAGCTCCACTAATTTTGTATTGATCGAACTGTCTACAATAGTTTGTAAATACAACAGAAACACTCTGGAATTTTTGTGTCGATACCCTTTGGGATAAACATCCGTACTTGGTTAACGCAAAAATTACAGGTAGGCACTGGTTCGAGTGGAATCGCTAATTGCACCGCACAACGGGTGTTAAACCAGCCAGTGTACATCACGCTTCTTTGATTCTGATGGAATTCTGACGGAACAATAATAAGCCGTCGCGTCGATCTCATCTAACAAGCCTACATACGCGATCTTAAGATGTTATATTTCGCATTACCTCAGTTTACTTCAGTCTTAAACGGATATTTTGCTGTAACGGATAACGCTTCATTAACTCAGCATCAACCAGTTCAACACGTCTTCGCTCGCGCGTAAGAAGTCATGACATGGAAAGAACAGTTTTATTGAAGTATCAAAAAATAAATAAATAAATAAAAATCTTTTAAATTATCAAATTAATTATGTAGGACGTTCAAATTACTAGAACGCTAAAATATTTTGCAACATTATATTTATCTTGCTTGAATCTTCTACATAATTATTTTGATTTCAACAAAATGAATTTCGGATCTGTATCTAAATCTAAATTTTTAATCTAAATTTTATCTCAGCAAAATCGTTCTTTCCGTGTACTAATAAAAAAACATACGTTAAAGAAATGTAAGAATTAGCGATATGTACATTTTCTCCATCTTTTAGTTCTTACAGTTTAGTTCTTTAAGCGACGTTACGTGTAGAAAAAAAAAATAGAATTTTCCAAATTAATAGCAAAGGAAATATGTGCTTCTTAACTATTACGATTCTCTACAGGCATCGAATTTTGCGAAGACGATCGCTGAGTAATTCCTAAGACCTCTACGACCGTAACGCGACGTGACGTTTTGACGAACGCCTGTCGCTCCAGCCGCGGTGCGAGTAAGTAAGTGGCCAAGGCAACGGTCCCAGACAGACAGACAGAAGCACCGAGGCACCTGTCCCTCCACTCTTGAGTACGTACTGCGAGGAGGGGCCCGGACAGGCACTGGATATACCCCGCTCTGCGATTCAGTACCCCGCGCACGCTCATGCTGATAAGACCTTATTCTAATCACTTGTCCACCTGATAGGAAGCAAGGCGCCGCATGCCGTCGCTTAACGCGCGCGACAGACCGCTCGATCTCGAGACGAGGGCGAAACCGTCCACGCGTGCACACTATCAGTGTCCGTGTCACGTTCCCATGTGTGTGCGTTGATCGCTGGTACGACACTCTTTAATCTCCCACGCTTTAGTGCGCGCGTCGCATGCTCTCGGCATCATTTTCGCGATAGCCGCGCGTCGCTCCTCCCGGAAGCGTCATGTAGACGATGATGAGCAGGTGCCAAGCACATCGGTGCCGCTGGCGTCGATGTTCGAGTTACATTATTACGTTGCTGCACGCGAAACATTCCAAGTAATACAAGTCAAGAGTTAAATAATAATAATTTCCTTTGTTTTTGACTAATTGATTATCAAAGGATTGTTATTAATATATGTTACATACGTATAAAGGAAAGAACGATTTTAGCAAAAAATTTTGCTAAATATATAGATTTGAAAATTTTGTTGGGCCGTCAAAATAATTACATTAGAAATTACAAAATGATAAGCGAGAAATTTTGATATTCTAGAGAAAGCAATCAGTTTGAATTTCCAACAAAATTAATTTAATGGTCCAAGAAAATTATTTTTAGATCTGTATTACGGCAAAATTTAGATCTTTTGGCAAAATCATTCTCTTCGTATAGTTTTCTTTCTAAAATCGTTTCACACAGAATGATACAGAATTTGTAAATGTTTTAAAAACAATTCACTTTTTACTCTTTATTTTTTATAATTACAATTTTTAATGTAAACTATTTCCAAATCCAATATCTTCGCGCAATGACCTAATCGAATTTCTATTACATACACAGTAAACATATGTGCTAAGCAAAATAATGTAGATTATTATAAATATAGAAGATATAGATAAATTCCGTATATTTTAATGGTTATTTAAGTACACACACGTATTCTGCCAATGATAATCAGCTGATCAGGAATTATCAGCTCTATGTACAATTTAAAAGAGATACTTAGTTTTACAATCGTGAGATACATAATTTAATGATAAATATACATATAAATACGCCAAACACGTTTGAATGAGAATAATTTCTTTCATTAAGCTAAAATAATTCGAATAAAAAAAAATTCCTAAGAACTTTGAATTTAATGAAATTCAATATTGAAAATTCGAGAGAAGTGCTCGAGATAAGAATTACTTACATAATATGAAATTTTTGCAATACCGTTTATCTAGATATGGTGAACGTTAAGGTCACGATATCTTCTTCTTAACAATTAATGAAAAAAAAAAAGGATAACGTGACTTTAATGTTCACTGTATCTGGATCCACGTTATTGCAAAAACTTCCTATTATTCAAATTTACCGTAATATTATTATATTTTCCTTCTTACTTTCTCTGATAACGCTTCTAGGTTGTTAATAATATATGCGACAAAATTTTAAGAAACTCGATTGATCATCGTTTCCTTTTAATCTCCATTATAGATCACGAAGTAAAAGCGACGTTGTGAGTGTGCAAAACTGCGAAACTATGTGTGTAATTCTTCCGTAAAAAATGTGTTGTGCACTTTGCTCCGAAAGTATTAAAAGTGACCAGCCGAAATACGAGTGATTCATCAATCCATGTCCGATGATCAAATATTGAAAAAGTTCCATGGAAATTGGATAATTTAATAGGCACTACGAAATGAAAAAGGTACGAAATGTGAATTTTTCAGAAGATCGCGACTGGAAAGTTGAGAGCGCAGAAATAAAATAAATTCCATTTATTTGTTCACGGTTTATAAGATTCGCTCTATGAGTTCGTATTTAAAAAAACAGATATTGTAATTCCGTCAATAATTCGAGATACAAATTTAAATTTAATCTCGTTAGGCAATTATAATATTTTTACGCAAAATACATAACATAGAATTAAAATGTATGAGAATAGATAATTTCGGGACAGCAAAATCAGAAAATTAATATAATATATGTATAACATATAAAAAATGTAACCCAAATGCGTGGTAATCACGATAATTATTCGAATAAATGTCTATGCAAATACGAGATAACTGCATCGCTGCATACTGCCATTGAATACACTTGCTATCTCTGATATTTGCACGCGATTACTCATCGACAATTGTTGCGTCATTAGCCGCACGCAATTGTTTCTGCTGCGAGAAGATACTTATCCACACCGAGAAATTTGAAACAAAATAAATGCATTGCTGCGTGTACTTCGAAGTAAACGCAACGTGAGTTACCTCAAATCCTTCATCTACAAAGAATAGAAAATGCGATCTTACTCGGAAACTATCGCATTCACTTATCTAGAATTTTTTTCTTTAACAATAAATTTCAAAAATTATTTGTTCAATTTGCAAATTTGAATTAAATATCGAAAATACAAATCTTGAATTTCTTTATGAGATCTGATTTTTAAGAGAAGAATCGTAAAAGATAGAATTGTAAAAGAAAGGATGAATCAATGCAAATCGGCGAATAATTTGAAATTTTGTATAGTTTCAATGTAGTAATAAATTATTCCGTTAATGATCTGTTTGTGATATAAATTATTAAATGTAAAAACGCGATTTACGTATAACGATGTGTTGTTATGTTAATGCTCTCTAGAGCAACAACTTCCCTGGAATTTCAGCAATTTCTATCAGGCTGTTATGTCGCGTGCGTGTTATGATGTAAAAAAGCCATAAATATTATCTCTAATTCTATCTTTTCTTATCTTATTTGTTTGTTTCTGTCCTCTTTAAAGTTTTTTCTCTCTCTCGATAAAAATAAGAATTTATATAGAATTAACATTTTTTGATAATATTATTTGAAAAAAGAATGTTAAAAACGAACGATTTCTGAAAAAAGTAAAGGAAATAGTAATTTTTGTAGATTACGACCTCCTGGATAAAGTTACAAAAAAGTTGTGACGTTTGGGGAGCACACCTTGAAAATTGAACAGGAACATTGAAAATTTGAATAAATGTTCATGTTCAATTTTTGGGCCCTTTTTTTAATATTTTTCTTTTAACATAATTAATTAATTAAAAGAAGGATATATAAATTGTAAATATTTATCTAGATAAATTAAAATGTGATTGAAACTTTCATGTAAATGACAAAATATTGTAAAACTAAAAATACATTTTAATACATTATTAAAATTTTTAAACATAAAACTTCTCAATAAGCATACAAAAAGATAATGAAATAAATGCTCGCAAAAATTGTTTTATTAAACAACTCTTAAATGATAAACATTATTGTACTACATTGCACAATATTATTAATTGTCTCGAGACTATGTTGATTATGATTTTTATTGTATAAAGAAGAGATCAATAATAATTGTACAAAATGTACAATAATATTGATTGTCTAAGCAGCGCTTTACTTTTATTATTTATATTCTCAATTTTGTCGTACAGCATAAATATAAATACTCGCACATAATTAAAGCTGAGGAAAAATAAACACTCTCAATAAGGTAAAAGCATTCAACTTCCTTGTTCTCAGAATTGCCATTATAGCAAATGTACCGTTATGTTCTTTGACGATGTATCTGCACCGGTATCGAATGTTGATTTAACGCGATCGAGAAACGTAAGAGTTTATAATGTACAATTTATAATGCTTATTGTTTGTAAATTTCAATTTCTATCAATATGATAAATGTAATAAATTAACAGACATTAAACATATGTTAATTTCCAACTTTTGTAAACATCAATTTTAAAATACGGAGCTTACAAAGAGAAATAAATATTGTATATCTATTTTTAAAATTTTTTAAATATGAAATAATTTAAAATTTAAATGAAGTTAAAATTTAAATGAAGTTAAAATTTAAATGAAGTTAAGTAAAAATCTCAAAATACATAGTTTCCAAAATCGCATTCGTGCTAATATTCAAGAAAAGAGAAGGATCTTGAATATTAAAGAGGAAAGATTTGAATATTATTTCATCGTTCTGCGGAGATCTGAAGAATACTCAATTATATGCGTACGGTTCGCATCCATTTTTCTACAAACGATTAATTTATGGAGCAATGCGGGAAGTCGGCGATAAACGAACGCCTTTCCATTCTTCGCGGTGCATTTCCTCATTCATATTGCGAGCGCCCACGTTCAGCCGTTGCGGCCATTTTACGGCACGCACTTATTTACGTTAACGAGCCGTGTAACGAAACTCGTGTAGCGCATAATCCGACGATTCCCAGCCCAATTTGCCACTAAACAAAACGCATTCCTCGCAACGTCACGTTCCTCGCTTCTACGCGCACGTCCCTCCAGCGTCCGTGATTTAACGAGGGCTCCGATCTTGCCGCAGAAATTCCCGATCGCTATCGTCCATGGGAAGCAGCAATTATTCACCCCCATCTGATTACTATTAATTAGTGACTAATTACTTTCTTCGCGGACCGCCCCACATGAACTGATTAAATAAACTACCAATTGCTCACGATGGGCATCAAAGAAGTTTAACGAACCCGAATGTGCGTTTCCCTGTTCAATCCTTCTCCGCATTTTACCCTGAAAATAAATCTTTCAGTGATAATTTAAAATATTAACAATAAATTTATTACAAACAGGAAATTGACAAGCATTAGTAAATAAAAATTCACGTGCGCAAGTTGTAAAATATTTTTTCACATTTCAAATATTTTCTCTTTAATAATCAAATTTTATGTTTTTTATTATTTAAAACTGAATGTATGATATTTCTATGGCATAAAACTTTCATAAATGTATGCTGAAATAGTATCATATTTTAGGCATACAATGTAATAATACAATGTAATAATAAATTATCAAATCTTATTTCAGAAAAAATTATTATTTTAAAAAGTAAACCATGCCCTCTTAAGGCTGCTAAAGATTAAAGATTATTCAAAATCAATGTAAACCTTGTTGAAATAAAATAAGAAAAACTTTTAAGTAAAGCGATAAATTTTTTAACAATTAAATAAAAAGATGTATTTTTTATTGAACTAAGAAAAAATTTATTATGCAAATTTCAGGATGTCAATGCAGCATTTATTTACAATTGCCATCGGCAATGTTAATTGTCGCCATAACATTACTTAAGGAATTCATCTATTGAGACTATTGAATCAATAGAGGCCGGTGATAACTTCCAATTGATTCTAGTCACTTAGACACGTGCCTTCATTTGATTCTCGTTATTTGTCCACAACTTTTCACGGTTTTTATCAATGTTTAAAATGTGAAAGTGTTCTTTTCAGTACAAAAAAAAAAACCATTTTCAATAAAAATCATTTAAAAAATACGGTACATTGAAATCATTTATTCTTCCAAAAAATTTAATCGCATTTTTTAATTAGATCTAGTTTTTCATTTTCTGATTAACTCGTAGATTAGAATTAAATCAATTAACCTCACTTAATTTAATGATGTAAAAATGTAAAAATTATATTCTTTTAGTGATAATTAATTACTGATAATTTCGTAGTGTGGTAATTTTAAAAGTTATTCATTACAACTATTAGTGATTAATTATGATAAAAAAATACAATTTTTATCATTAGATTAAGACTAATCATCTAACTCAAAGGGAAAATATATAATCATTTTAAATAAATAAATTTATATCCAGAAATTTATTTTTTATTTCTACAAGTTCTCAACCAAACTTTCTGAAAACAATTATTTTCTTGCTCAAAAGAAAGATGGATAAATGCGGTATTTCAACAGTAGAAAATCAAACCGATCTCGTCTAAGCCTCATAATACGGTCGCTCGTTCACCAAACACCGTCCGTTTCTTAACATGTGCATGCTAACGCGGTGTAAATTTGACGAAATCTAGCTAGATGCTTCGAAGAACTAGTCTCATGAGGAGGTAAACACACCGTTCAATGCTCCATATGAAAACAGGAATTCAAAGTGGTGTAATTTCAATGGGCGTTACATATATATACACACATACATACATACATACATATACACACACACACACACACACACACAAATTATATAGATATGGAATTATACGTCTAACTGCTCATTGAAAAATGATTTATTCATATAGTAATCAAAATTAAATTATTGTTTATACTCGTTGGCCTTCCAGTTCTTTTTTTATACAGCTCTAATCAAAAATATTATGAGTATGATATTAATTATTAGGTGTTGGAATTAATTCGTAGCGTTTTTAATGAAAGAATGTTATTTATTTCACATGAGCATTAAAAAATACATTAATGAAAGTACTTCCCATCACTTGTAAAACGCTACGAATTAATTCCAACACCTAATATTATTTAATATTTCAGTTCAAAAATTAATTGATAGTATTTGTTACGAATTATCTTTTCAAAAACTCTTTAAATTTATATATTATGTCCGTAATTAATAGGAACTAGAATAGAGCGGGGATATTTGAACATAGGGATTTGTTTTAAAGATTTCACTGTTTTTTGAAAATTTTCGAAAACGTAACGTTGTCGTCATCGTTGTGTCGTCGTTGTCCATCGTCTCCCCCCCCCCTCTTCTCTCTCTCTCTCTCTCTCTCTCTCGTACACGTGCACACACACATACATTCGCACTCTGTCTCTATTTATCTCATGTATATCAATAATTATGACATATGTATGTTATTAACGTTCATTTATAATGCAACTTTAAATGTAATATTAATTAAATGAAGTTTTGTGCATTGTGAAAAGCAGCTTAATGGA